ATTCATTTATATAGGTCCTAGGGAGACAGAGCAACATATATTGTTGTGATACTCTTTTCACTTTTTTCCTTCACGTTTATTGAGTGTGTTACAATGTTCCAAACCTCATCCTAAGTGTTTTACAGCTTGGTCAAGGTCCCAAAGCTGATAAATGGGCAGGATTGGGATTGGAACCCAGCATGTCTGGCTATAGAAGTCACATTCCTAAGTACCATGCTTTTCTGCCTTCTCTGTGGAGTTCTTCCCCAGTGTAACTTTTGAGTGATACATATAATATGGTCATTATTAACACAGTTGGATGGCATTAAGTCATTTTATAAAACACATAAATATAAAGTCCCTTAGGACTACCAGAAATACCTTTATTGCCATAAATATTGTTTTCATAAAGCAATGAGCTTAGTTCTATTCATCTTATAAATGATAGAATTTCTTCATATTTTTCTTTTTCTGGTTAATCCCTCTATAATAAATAGTACAGGAAACATAGCTACTTTTAAGTTTTCCCTTAGCCTGGATCTTGCTGTTGTATGGTATGCCCCACCCATAGTTTTATAAGAGATGTCTTATCATTCTAAAGACCTGTTGTGGGAACATGCCTGGGAAGGCCTGCAGATGAGTTAGCCACACCAGCCTCAATAAGATTGTCTGCCAGGGCGGCTCAGAGGCCTCACGACACTGCTTCTTTTTGTTCTCTGCTGGCACTTGTATTTCTAGGTCAGGAAATCATTGCCGATTTTCTGAGAATGTAATTACTTTGTGACTTTCTTCCCTTTTATAGGAAGATCTGTTTCAACAGCCAGGCCTGCGGTTGGAATTTGAGAAAATCAGGGACTCTTTGGATACTGGAATGACTGATACCCTCGATATCCTCTGTATCCTTTGTGTGTGTGTGTAACAGAGGTGAGAGAAAGGAAAGAATAATATTTTAAGGCTCAAAATCAGATATTGTGTCCTCAGCTACCATGTTTTTCTTTCTTAAAGTTTGCACAGAGAAGACTCTGCAACTTTAAGTAGCCAATATAGTAGGAGCTCAGGAGGGCCCAACTAAGCTGACAAAGGGCTTGGCCCCTTCAGGCTATCAGGCAGGCAGCACTTCTGGCGTGTGCTTGTTCCTGGGCCTTTTCCTAATCATGGGCAGCAGCATCACCTGTTCCTTAACGATGGGCCAAAAGCCATTAACAATCATTCTGTAGCTGAAGCCTTGCTGCTTTTCCTGGAGAGCCTGCCAGAGCCCGTCATCTGTTACAGCGCGTATCACAACTGCTTGGAGTGTTCTGGCAACTACACAGCAAGTAAACAGGTGAGGGGAAGCGTTGAGTATCAGCATACACATGTTGTAGCCCCCAGGCTTCGTGGGGCCTGAGGGAGCAGAGTAGTCTCCCAGCCCGTCACATGCAGTGTCTTAGAGACTCAGCTCCTGTATCTTCCCTTCCCAAACCTGTTTTTCCTCTCACGTTCCTTTTTTCTTTTAATGGCATCATACTTAATTGCACTGACTCAGCCCAGAAACCTGAGTCATTTCTGACTCCTACACTTCTCACCTTCTACATGCCCAGTCCCCCTTGATCTATCACCCATCTTTTTCTTCCACTCTCGTTCCACTTTCCTTGGTGCAAGGCCCTGTATTCAGGCTCTCCCTGTGCTGATTTATTTTGAATACTGCCATTAGATGGTGTTCTAAAGCTCTCATCGTGTTACTGTTGGTCAAAGATCATACTTGGCTTTCCATTGCCAATTAATGATTTTTTAAATATTCAAGACTTTCTATGATCCACTCTGCTTGCTCACATATATAACAGGCCATAGAAGGAAAATCTAGAAAACCTGCTAATACTACAGGTCCTAGTTTCTGACCCCACATCTGCTGAATCAGAATCTCTTTGGGAATATATTTTATACAAGCTTCCTAGCTGATTCAGATGTGCAGATAGCTGGAGTCCTCACTGAATTCTAGCCTGATTCAGTCCAGGCTTAGCACCTGTTCAGTTATGCTTCTGCCAACAATGACTTCTCCCAGTATGTTCTGTCTCCTTATCTCACTGTTTTCCTTCTCTTCCCTTGTTTTACACTTTTTTTTTTTTTGTGCTCTAAATACCCTAGTCCTTACCTCTGCAAGTCTAATCTTGTCTTACATTCAAGACCCAACTAAAGCCCTGGCTGGTGTGGCTCAGTGGATTGAGTGCCAGCCTGTGAACCAAAAAAATGGTTTCTTAAGTTGTATTTAAAAAACCCAAGATTTTACTTATTTATTTTTAGAGAGGGGGGGAAGGGAAGGAGAGAAGGAGAGAAACATCAATGTGTGGTTGTCTCTCATGTGCCCCCTACTGGAGACCTGGCCGCAACCCAGGCATGTTCCCTGACTGGGTATCTAACTGGCAACTCTTTGGTTCACAGCCCCACACTCAATCCACTGAGCCACTCCAGCCAGGGCTAAAAAAAATCTTAAAAAAAAAAAAAGACCCAACTAAAATGTCTTCTATTCCCTGTCTTTGGAGAGCACTTAGGTGGAAGTTTGACCTCTAAATCCATGTAGCACTTGATCTGTGCTTCTCTTTTGGCACTTGTGCCAAATGGTACGTAATCAAGGTTTTCTGTGCACAGTTTTACTAATGTACTTGGATCATGTACTCAGTTCCTGGAATAGAGCAGACACGTGACAAATACTTGACTGAATGGAAAGACCAATCCCAATTCTCCCTCTTTCAGGTTATTTCTACTCTCCCCACATTCCACAAAAATGTCTTCTACTACTTGATGGCATTTTTGCAAGAATTGCTGAAAATTTCAGAAAAAAATCATTTGGATCAAAATATTCTAGGTAAGCATCCAAGTACCCGTGGAAAGCATCTCTGCCAACTGAGAGACTCATTATGAGAAATGTGGCTGAGGTAGGTCCTAAGTCCACTGTAATAAAACTGAAGTCTCAAACTCTGGGTACAGTTTACCCTCAAATAGATTTTAAAGCAGAAAATTTGCTTTTGGGCACCCTCCCCCACTCCTAATAGCACAAAGAATTAGTACATTCTTTTGCTGAATCATTTGTTTTCTGTGTTTTTCATGCAGCTAGCATATTTGGCAGCTTACTGCTTCGAAACCCAGCTGGTCACCAAAAGCTTGAAATGGCAGAGAAGAAGAAGGCTCAAGAATTTATTCACCAGTTCCTCTGCAACTCACTCTGAGCCTCTTTGTCTCTTCTCCTATTTCACTGGAGGCAGCCAATTTCCAGCCCTACCTGTTTCAGTTCAGGAATGGCCTTAAAGCTGGCCATTGGAAGCAAGAGGCCACTTGGAAGCAAGAGTGGCAGTGCCTGTTTTGTGAGCCCGGGCCATTTTCCCCTGCCGTGGCTGCCACACTCAGTGCTGCTGGGAGTTGTGAGGACATGAGGAGAAATCCACCACAATAAAACTGACATTCGATGTGCGACTTTAGTTAATTTAACACAGATAGATCTCTATTTTTTTTTTAATTTTAGAAATGTTTAAATAACTGTACTTCTTGTGCTCACTCAGCCTGCCTGCTGAGTATAGTCAGAGCCATCCCCCATAGCCTGGGCTGAGCTTCCCATGGTCAGATATTTGGACACACTGTGGAACTGAAGAGAGAATGAGCTCAACAGTAAGAATGCAAGTGGCAGCTGCTGGATGAACAGGCCACAGCCACCCCAGACACTTCCAGCACGCTGTCTGAGGACATGTGTCCATGCATCTGCAAACCTTCTCCCCTTTCCTACTCGGGTGTGGCACAAGAACTAGGGCTGGCCGCGCAGCCTCTGAGGTCGATACAGTGGCTTGGAAATGAAAATACTGAAGAAATTGGTGTTCTGGTTAAACAAGTGGGATTTTCTGGGCCAGCAAAGCCTCCAACCTGTATATGATTCATCCCCTCTCTCATATGTGTAATATATTTTAATGATAAATGTATTTTTAACAGTGGTTGTTTGCATGTTTTTATCTCTTATTATGAGATGGCAACTCTCTGCAGCTGGACCTTTGCCACTTAAGCATTGGGGCAGCTGGCCGGGGGCCAAAGAGATATTTGCCTGGCGTCCGGTGTGTACAGTCACTATTCACATTTTTCAATTAAGAGATGGTACAGGCATGGCCTGAACCCCTTGACCCCTGATCTAGTTAGTTTCTGGAGTTTGTTGCACTATGAATATTCTCCATAGGAGTAGCTTAGGGGAAAAACAGGCTGTGGGTGCTGGGAGGTTCTAACAGCTAGATCTTCCAGGGATTTAGAAAAGACAGGAGCATAATTAAAGCACAACCAGAATCGCTTCCTGGGACCTGGAACACCACTACTTGGAAGAACTGTAAAAATGTGATTTACAATAGTTACGAGCCAGTCGTGTGACAATGAACGGTTAAAGAAAGGGAGTGGCCAGTAGGTGGCGTACGCTGGCTCCTGCGCGAGTCGGGTTAAGAGCAAACAATCCTCAGCTGGAGAAAAAGTTGGGCGACAGCTCAGCTGGGCACGAGTGTGAGGGAACTGCGCTTCTTACTATGAGAGCGTTACGAGAAGGGCAAGAGGCGGCGGCGAGCTCTGGCTGGGTTTGGGATGCGCCCTAGTTCTGTCACGTGGGTTCAATCTTCCTTTCTTGGGCCCTCCTGCCTATATTAATTAACTCCGATGAGTGATGAGGGAAAGCTGGGGCCACAGAGAAATGGCGGGAGTGTCACAGCCTGATTTGGGATGACTGGTCCTCTCCGTTCCTGTTGTGGTTGCCATGGTGAATGGGGCCAGCACAAGCCGGATTAAGACTAAGGATTAGTGCAGGGGTTCGCTCCCCTTTCCAAGTCCCGCAGGCTCCCGCTGGGCGACAGACCCGGGGGGCGCTTGCCTACGGCCGGTTAGCTCACTGTCAGTCTACGCCTTTTGGTGTCCCGTCCCTCCCGCTCGCCAATTGGATGCTCGAGCTCAGCCCCCACAGTCTCTAAACCAACCAGAAGCGCCAAGAAGAGGCGGAACCGGTATCTCCCTTTTCCTCCGGAAAGCGGAAGCGGAAGTGACGCCCGGGGAAGGTGGGGGCAATCATGGTGCCGCTGGGGAGGGGAGAAGCTGCCGCTGCCGCCGTTGCCGGGAGCCACGGAGGTAAAAGGCGAAACTAGACACTGCTTGGGCTGGGGACTTCCCCGGGGGGCTCGGGACTTAGGCACCCTCCTGAAGCATTTCCCAGTAGAGACCCCAGTCAGGTCGCCATAGGGACCCCACCCCTCCTCCGTTTCCATGGGAATGGGTATCCAGTCCCCCTCCCCTGTTTCCATGGAGACCCGGACGGACCCTGCCCCTCTTCGCCAGGCTTGGAGCCCCCCAACCTGTCTTCAGTTTTTCTGTGTAGCCCAGGCTGGGAGCTGTCCCAGGCAGGCTCCTTTGCCAACCTTCTCTCAGGGGTTCTCTGTTTGTACTCCTCGTTTGCCATCCTCAAATCTCCTGGTCTTGTTTGTTTCGGACAGTTGGTCTCCACGTTGCCGCTGATGGTGCCTGGGCAGCCCAGTGGGGCCCTGGGTACTCCTCTGTCTCCTCGCAGATGCAGCGAAATGTGCATCTGCCGGGTTGCGTAAGCCAGAGCAAGGGGTCGGGCGGTTTCTTCCCGGATCCGATCCCTTGGCCTGTCTCTGGTAACTATCTCTCTCTCGAGCCGCCCCACTACGTAAAAGGTTCACTTTCTAATCCGGAGCAGAGGAGAAAGATAAATTGCAAATCCAGACTGAAAACTAAAAGTGATGCGATTATTTTTAAAATCTCTGTACTGCCTGCCAAACCCACATTTGTAGAATCTCTGTGTTTGCAGGTAAATGAATCAATATTCCAAAACAAGAAAGCTTCAGATTTGGTATTTTTCCCAAGAGAGCATGTCTTCCCAAGTGAGTGTATCTGTAGGTGTTTCATTCATTTAGTTGACTTCTCCTGAATTCCTAGTGTCAGTGTACTGTGCTAGGGACCCCAGAAACAAAAATAAGACTCATCATCCCCTCACTGCAGAGAGCATATGATACCAGCATGGCTGGTGCTGGACACCAGATTGTTTTAGGAGATAAACAGATAAAATGGGTTTCATTAGATATGCCTGATGAGGGATTAGCCCCTCACCCTAGAATCTGAAACATCTGTTCTGGAAAGGAGAAATGAATTCACACTTGTTTCCTCTACTGTTGCTTTAATGTACATTATCTGCTTTCATTCCACATAACTTTGAGAGAACAGGAATTACCAGTCCCACCTTATACGTAATAAAAGTGAGGCATGGAAAATTTCCCCAAGTAGTAAGTGGCAAAGATGGAATTTGTAGGTAGGGGACCCTGCCTTCCAAACTCTGCTCCTTCCTCTGTGGGCTGCACTGCTTCATGGTCTGATTTGGGGCTATATTTGAGTGGGGTTTCCTTACTTTTAAGATATATAGCAACTCAGACTCGTTGCCCCTTTACCCCTTTAATTATTTTTTAATAACCTTCAAATTGTTTGGCAGTAAGGCACATTTGGAAGGTCTTGTGAACTGCTATTTATGACTTCAATTTTTAAAAAAGGCATTACTTTTAAAATGACTTAATGATTTCAAAGTGAAATTTAAAAAGTATTTCCAGGGAAGATGATCTTTCATTGACCTGCCCTTGAATTGAGGGGGTGGGGGTGGGGTGGGAATAGCCCTGTAGTTGCTGAGAAGGTCCCGAGGTCCTGTGGTATGGCTCTAACTTGGGCTTTGTTCTGTTGCAGACAGGTCATTACCTTTCCATTTCTCACAATTGGGCTGAGCACAGTTGAACCATGGGGGAACACAGTCCAGACAACAACATCATCTACTTTGAGGCAGAGGAAGATGAGCTGACCCCCGATGATAAGATGCTCAGGTTTGTGGAGAGAAACGGACTGGTGCCTTCCTCATCTGGAACTGTTTATGATAGGACAACTGTTCTCATTGAGCAGGACCCTGGCACTTTGGAGGATGAAGATGACGATGGACAGTGTGGAGAACACTTGCCTTTTCTAGTAGGGGGTGAAGAGGGCTTTCATCTAATAGATCATGAAGCAATGTCCCAGGGTTATGTGCAACACATTATCTCCCCGGATCAGATTCATTTAACAATTAACCCTGGCTCCACGCCCATGCCAAGAAATATCGAAGGTGCAACGCTCACTCTGCAATCGGAATGTCCAGAAACGAAACGTAAAGAAGTAAGTAAAGCAGCGGGTGAGGGCTCAGTCTGGCTTTTGGAAATGTCCTCATACAGCTCTTGTCGGCAGTTTTAGCCAACAAAGGAGCCCCTGGAATTAGGACCTCCGGTGGCTTTGCTTGTCAGGGACACATATACTTCACGTTTTGTTGTGACTGCTTTCTGGAACTTCTCATTCAAGGCTACGTTGAAATTTGGGCAGTCTGAATTATAATTTTTCATATTTTCCTCCTCACATCACACATAAAATAGAAATTTCACTGAGGTCAATTTATATATCTGATACTGAAATGGCTACATTTGGCTTACCTCGGGATTATATATAAATAATTTGTCTTGGAGATGAGTATCTGCTGGAATATGATTTTTTTTAGTGAATGTTTTATGAATATTAAAGGCTAGCTTTCTTTAAGAAATTCAGACAAGAGACACTATGAGAACAGGTCGTCTAAAATAAGTTTTCATGCTTATATTTAGCTAATGTGAGTAAGGTACTTCATGTCACAGTGATTTGAAAACAAAACCGCAAAGCATTGTACTAGTGGTGATTATTAGAATAAGAGGTGTGATTTAAAGGTAGTGACGTACATTATCCGGGAACTAATTGAAGGCCAATTAGAAAAATATTCTAATCACTGGTAGTTGCAATGCCAGGGACCAAATGTAAAATGTTACCAGACAGACACAGGATAAATTGGCAAAATAGTTTTCTCTTTTCTTGTAATTAAAGGCTTAGAACTGGGGAATTTTATTCGTGGCATATGGATTTTCCTTTAGGATCCTTTCCTTTAGGGCCTTAGGATCTCAGAGCTGGAAGAAGCCCTAAAGAGACCATCTTGTCCGACCTCCCTCCCCAATTCAGGAATCTCTGTAGCATCTCTGACATCCATTCATCTGGTCCGTGCTTGAACACTTCCAGAAAGATGAGAAGACAGTGTTTCACAGTTTGGCCTAATAGCTTTGTTGGCCAGCTCTGATTGTTAGAAAGCTCTTACTTGTATAGAGCCAAAATCTGCCTTCCTGCAGTTGCTGCCCACTCTCTCTAGTTCTGCCTGCCTGAGCAACAGTAAGTCAGACCTTCCTCTCAAGGGACAACCCGTCAGATATTTAAAGATCATGGGTTTCTCTTCATCTTCACCTGTACAGGCTAAACACCTCCATTTATTTAAATATCCCTCCTGTTTCTCATCAGCTGAGTCACCTTTGATTGTATGAATTCCAGTTTTCCTAATACCTCTGAAAACTCATGATTAAGACAGTCTCACAGATAAAAGTCAACCAGCACGGAATACTATGTGGCTCTTATCTCTTAATCTGGACACTGTACGACAATTACCATATAGTCTGTATTTTATGAGCCATGACATCATACTCTCAGCTCGCACTTGGAAACCTCCAAAGTAGTGGTTGTTAATTGGGACAGTCTGTCCCCAGGAGACATTTGGGTATGTATGGAGACACGTTTGGTTGTCATATGGAGGAAGTGCTACTGGAATCTAGTGGGTTGAGGCCGAAGATTCTGTTAAAACATTCTACAGTGCACAGGACGGCCCCCTACGACAAAGAATTATGTGGCCCAAAATGTCAGTTGGCCATGTTTCAATAAAACTTTATTTACAAAATGGGCATTGGCTGTAACGTGCCTACCCCTGGACTAGAACATAGGGAGCAGGAGATAAAGATGGAAAAATAGTGGAGATCCAGACCGGGGAGGCAGTGATAGAATGCTAAGGGGTTTGGACTATGTTCTGGAACTAGGAAACCACTGGAAGTGTCTGAGCCAAGGAGTGATGTGGTCCGAGAAGCCATTTAGAAGGATTGCTCTGGTAGCAGTGGTAGTTTGATGGCCCAGTTAGGAGATAATTGTAGTTTAGGTTTGAGGTTTCATTTGAGTCTGATGAAGGATAGTGGCTTTGCATATGGAAAAAAATCTAGAGTTTTTCTTGAGATATAAGGGAACTCGGTATGTTATTAGAGTGTGAAGAGTGAGCCATAACTTGGGTATGATTCAAAGGATCCATTCAATTTTCCATTGTGTCGAGTTTCTTCTGTCTTAGCCCAGGGGCCACACAGATGACTGACAGAACTTGCAGTCTAGGTAACGAGCTGCGTGGTTATAGTCAGCTGCGATAGGTACTTTAACAGAGGCATATTCATGACGCCGTGTGCATGCTGAGAAGACAGCTGATTCTGCTGCCCTCCTCGCCCTCTGGGAATGGCGATTCCATAACAGAAATCAAGAAGACAAGAAGAGGAGAAAGTCTGGTGGGGAAATTGATGAGTTTGCTTGGAGTATGCTGAATGCATAGTTCTTGGAGGAAAGTAAAGTGAGCAATTGAGAAGCCCATTGGAAATGTGAATCTAAAGTCAAGGAAATGGCTTGGGATTAGGATTGTGGATCCATGAAGGGGCAGCACTTCAAATTGTGGGCGGGGCACTCAAGGGAGAAGTATGATTGACTTGAGAATTTGAGAGTTAGAAAGAGAAAGAGGAACCAGAGATCACATAAAGAGATGGGTGGGATTCAGTGTTGTGGAAGCTGAGGGAAGAGTTTCTAGAAGTGTGACTACGTCTTTGTGACCCTGAAGAGGGACTGAGGGACCCAAGAGAAGCCATTAGTTCTACCTGTGCAGTTGATCATGTCAGGAGAAGACTTTCAGCAGAGCGCTGGGGGCTGCAGCCAGATTTTGCGCATTGGAGAAATGACTAGGTGGTGAGGAAACAGGAGGCAGGAAGTGTCAAGTTGTCAAGTTTTTTCTGGTTTTTTTGTTTTTTTTTTTTAATGGTAGTTGGAGGAAGAAGAGTGATAAGGCAGTAGTAACTCAAGGGGACTGAATCATTCTTTAGCACAGAAAATCTGAACCTAGCTTTGGGCCAATGTTAATGATTGCTACTGAAAGTGTTTCAAGAACAAATGGAAGGGAAACATGAAGTTAAATCAGGACAGAGGTTTGTTTTTTACAAGGTTTCTCAGAGCTTTTGATGTGCTAATAACTAAGAAGGAAGGAAAGGCAAGAATTCTCCAGATGTTTTGAACTTGGGAAACCATTTTTCAGTCCCATTTTCAGGGTCAGTGTTTTGTGGAACACATTTTGGGATCTGCTGACCTAGGCAGAAGAGGATGTGGCAGGGAGGGAATGATTATGCAATCAGTGATATTAGCTGTCACCTTCCCACTTTGTGCTACTTACAAGCCTGATTTACCATTCCTGTCTTCAGGTCATTGATAACGATGTTGAGTAGGACAAGGTCAAGAGTATTATGCGCACCTTGTTCAGTCTATTGTGGATTTAGCTAAGTGGACTTTCCTTCCATCACATTTTTTTAAAATTGTTGTTCTATTACAGTTGTCCCAATTTTCTCCTGTTGTGCTCCCCTGCCCCGACATTTTTTCTTTCTGTCCATGAGACCAACATGGAAGATTCTAGAAACTGTTTTTGAAATCATTAGGTATGGGATTGGTTGGGGATTGAGAGAGAAGCAGCAGTGGCTTTTAGTCTTTTAAAATGTTGCTAAGTGATTACGCATTCAGGAGACTGGCCTTCCTGAAGCACCATCTTATCGTAGCTTTTGCTTTAACAGTGGTTTTATTTTTTTAGCATTTAAATCCATTTAATTGGCCTGGAGAGGTCAATGTTTGTGACTGTTTGATAACACTCTTCATGATTTCTTTACTTTCCCTCCCCTCTTTTTTTTATTTTTTAATAAGAGAAAGTTTATTTAGAAAGTCACAGAGCTAGAAAAAGTGAGCCGTAGAAGAAATGGGCTCAGGGAACAAGTTACAGAGGCAAAAGGAGGGCCCCTGGAGCTTAGGAGAGAGAAGGGCAAAGGTACCACACCCGCTGGGGAAAGAAGGGCACAGGCGTGCTCCCGAGAAGGGGGAGTGCCCCCTCCCCTCTCTTTTTAAACTTAGTCTTTTTCTCCCTCTCCCATTCCCAGGTGTTACTCTTGAGAAATCGAATCATTTGAAAACTAGTTAGTTTTCTTGGCTTCTTAAGCAGCTTATTTTCTGAGTCAGATTTTATCCTGAATTTCCTGTTTACCCCTGATCCTTCCATTGCTTTCTATAGTGTGAGGTTGCATTACCTATTACAGTCACATGCTTCATAACAATGTTTCTAGCACGATAAACCTGTCAACAACGACCTCATATACAGTGGTGGCTCCATAAGAGCATAGTGGAGCTGAAAAATTCTTATCGTCTAATGATGTCCTAGCCATGCCAACATCATAGCCATGGTGACGTCCGCGCGCATGCATTACTCACAGGTTTGTGTGTTGCTGGAATGAACAGACCTGCACTGCCCGTTGTGTGAAGCACAGCACATACAACGGATGTGCAGTACATAGTGCTTGTTGATAATGACGATGAACGACTACGTTACTGGTTTATGTGTTTAGTATACAGCTAGACTATACTTTCTATTGTTATTTTAGAGTGTACTCTTTCTACTAAAAAAAAGAAGTTTGCTGTAGAACACTATGCTGGTTAGGCCGACAGCAGCCTCGCACATCTCGTGTTTACCTTGTATCTTCTCTCGCGCTTGGTTTAACCTCACATTGTTTTGTACAGTAACAGGCCGTGTAGGCTTGTAGCCTGGGAGTAACAGGCTGTACCATCCAGTGCAGGTATGCGGTGGGCTAGAACCATCTAGGTTTGTGTGAGTGCACTCTGTGGCCTTTGCCAACAGCGAAAGCGCCTAAGGACGCACTTCTCAGAATGGATCCCTGTCACTGAGTGGCACAAGACGGTGCTTCATTGTTTTTGCCTCGTGCTTGCCTTGTGCAGAGAGAAACCAACCAGAACCTGGCCACAGATGCTGTCTTTTCCTTCCACAGGGACGCGGGTCATTCTGACTCTAATTTCATGTGTCATCTTCTCGTTCTTGCTGTCTCATTACTGCCTACCTGTTGATTTGGTAGCTTTGAAAAATTTGCAATCAAATATTGTCATTCTGCTCAAGATCAGCATTCTGAAGAGTGGCTACTTGAGTGTCTTCC